TTCACTCATTCATCCATCCATCTACCCTTTCTCAAGCACTGGGAATCGACAGATAAATAAGGATTCTTTGCCGGGAAGCAATCATCATAGGGATGCATAGAACCGCAATACAGCAACACGGCAGCACTGACCACTGTAGCCTGGGCCATCCAAACTTGTTCTGAAACCTGGATCTGATACACACTGCAGACCTCCAGAGGCAATACCACATAGACATTTGGGTCTGAAGCTCCAAAGAGATGTCTAGGCTATGTGTGTTTATCTGCCTACAGACAGCGTCGTATGGAGGAGATTGCCTTGTGACAAAGTGGACATCAAGAAAAGGGCAACCTATAGCAAAAACTCTAGTGAGACTTGGAAACAATACAGAGGGCTTTGAGCCTGCAGAATAAAGGTGTTAGGCCGGCGCCGCGGCTCACTAGGCTAATCCTCCGCCTAGCGGCGCCGGCACACCGGGTTCTAGTCCCGGTCGGGGCGCCGGATTCTGTCCCGGTTGCCCCTCTTCCAGGCCAGCCCTCTGCTGTGGCCAGGGAGTGCAGTGGAGGATGGCCCAGGTGCTTGGGCCCTGCACCCCATGGGAGACCAGGAAAAGCACCTGGCTCCTGGCTCCTGCCATCGGATCAGCGCGGTGCGCCGGCTGCAGCGCGCCGGCCGCAGCGGCCATTGGAGGGTGAACCAACGGCAAAAGGAAGACCTTTCTCTCTGTCTCTCTCTCTCACTGTCCACTCTGCCTGTCAAAAAAAAAAAAAAAGGTGTTAACAACTCCAACTGCTAAGAAGTTCAGTTAAATGAAAACATTTCAGCATCACCATCCCATTTGGGTGCCAATTCAAGTCCAGGCTGCTCCACTTCTGATCCAGCTCCCTGATAATGTGCCTGGGAAAGCAGTAGAAGATGACCCAAGTCTTGGGCCTCTGTACTCACATGGGAGACCTGGATGAAACTCCTGGCTCCTGGCTTCAGCCTGGCTCAGCTATGGAAGATGGATATTTCTCTCTCTCTCTCTCTCTCTCTCTCTCTCTCTCTCTCCTTCTCACTCTAAATCTCCAAACCTACATACCCATGCCCTGTCCTCTTTCTCTATCCGTCACTTAAAATTGACAGCTGTATCTTGACCTTCTGCTAAAGCCTAACAATCACAGAACTTCCTGATCTTGGTGGAAAATGCATTATCAGGAAAAAAAAACAAACTATGCCTGGCTTTCAATGTTTTTGCACCAAAATCAGCTTACCTTTGAGTTCCATTTTCCCATGGACTTTTTGAAGTTTCATTGCATTTTCTTAAAAGAATTTCTAGCAGACTAAAAACAGAGCTGTTCTGAGTGGGCTAAAGTAGAATGAAGTTGATTTTAGATGTCGGGAAACTTGGAGAAACTGTGATTCCCTTCTGGAGCTCCCCTGAGTCCACAGACTCTGGGACACAGCGGGAAATGACCGAGGATTTGAACCTTTATGTATCACTTATTACATTTGCTCCAAGGTTTGAGAGTCGCCAGTACACAGAGCGTGAGAACAAGGTGAACAGGCAATGGTCCCAGTCCTCCACTGGCGGGGGGCTTGTATCGTTGACAAGGATCCCCCTCTCTCCCAGCTTCCCCCAAGTGAAAGAGATGTTTGACCTTGTCTTTGCTGCATCTCTCCAGCCTCATGTTCATGTCCTTGAGAAAGCTGCGCCAATGAGGGAGGCCCTGCCTTCCTCCCTGACTCCTTCTGGCCAATCTCAAGTGTTCATATTTTCCTGAGCTTGCACCCCAGGCTCTACTATCAATGCCTCTGTTAAAATAAAGCCTCCTCTCCACCCTACCCTTTAAAAAGTGGTTTCGACTTTAGTTTACTGAGAAAGCGAAAGCAATCAGAAGCAAGCTCCCACATCCTCCCACTACCCAATCTAGCCATAAAGCCACCCCTTCAGTTGGACACAGGTTTTTCTTGCCTTGTGTCTGATCCAACATTCCTTTCTTGCACTTTTTCTCCCTCTTTTCTAGGTTATTTTTTTCTCTTCCTACTGGAAAATTTCCATCAATATCCAGGTATCTTGCAATCCCTCTCACCTTTAAAAACAGATCTTCCCTTGACCCCATCTCCCATACTGCTCTGTTTCTCCATTTCCCGGTTCCAGCAGAAATTCCTCCATGAGTTGTCTCCTCCCCCATGTTCCCTTAGTTCCTCCATGCTCTTCCAAATTTCCTCTGATGAGACCTTCAGTCTGAGCACTTCACCAAAACTACTGCAGTCACGGTGTGATGGTTCCCGGTACCCAGACATTTGGACAAGCACTGTTCTGGATTGTCCCTGTGGGCGCCACTTTGGATGAGATTAACACTGACGTGAGCAAGATGTGTTCTCCATGATGCGGATGGGCCTCATTCAGTTGTATGAGGCCTAAATAGAACGAAAGCCTGACCACAACCGAGCAAGAAGGAGTTCTGTAGCCAGCGGCCCTCAGATCTGAGCTGCACCATCATTGCTCCTGGGATCTCCAGCGTGCCCACCCACTGTACAAATTTCACACTTGCCAGCCTTGGTAGCCACATAAGTCCATTCCTTAGGGGAAAAAAATCTCTGTGTATACACAACCTATGGGTTCTGTTTGTCTGGAGAACCCCAGATACAATACAAGGTCACCAAGGACCGTCACTTTGCCACATACAACAGTGAATTCTCAGTGTTCTTCTTACTTGAATTTGACAGTATTTGACAATGTTGAATCATATTCTCGTTCCAAGGGCGCTTGTCCCCAGTTATGAGACTCTCCCAGTTCTCCTGCAGGTCACCGCCAGCCCCTGGTCCCTTGTAGGAGCCTCCTCATCAGGTCCTCAGATCTGGTCCCCACTTTACTTGGTCCTGATTTCTCCATGGATCACCATAACATGATGCTACTTTTTCTCCTCCCATGGCGATTGTGGTAAACCCCAGTAAGGGAAATTGCCAGGAGGACTGTGGCCAGTGCCCAGACACGCAGTACTAATGGACTTTACAGGAGCTTGAGGTCCAAGGCCTCAGAAAGCCTAAAAGGAGGTTTGCTGTGACTTCAACACAATCTTGCCCAAAGCTCAGCCAGAACTTTAAACCACAAAGTCAGAAGCCGATGGAAATTTGATCAACAATGGTGTTCAGGAAGGGACCCAGCGGGAGGTCCTTCAGTGAGGAGGGGGTGAGCCCCCAGGAGGAAGCGCTCAGGAGAAGGTTGGTTACAAAAGGCTGAGTCAGGGCCCAGCTGCTGCCTCTGCTTCCCAGACCCTCACCCCACCATGATCGCCCCTCCCCAGGGGCCCCACCATGGCCCCTACCCTCCGCAATAGAGGCCAAACCACCTGGCCTTGGACTTGAATCTCCAGAACTCCAAAGCAGAAGTGTTCTCTTGATACAGTTGTTGTCTTGGGTATTTCTTTGTTGTAATGAAAAGCTGACAGATACAATGTTCTAGCAGTTGGCCTGGCAACCTGGCCATGCTGTCAGATCATTTTCATCCATGTCCCAAGGAGATGCAGGTAGTTTCAGTAGCCACTGGGACAAGGAAAAAAATGTGGAGGTCTTCTCTTCTTTTTCCTTTAAAGTTTCCTCTGTCCTCACCTTCCTGAGCCACACATACGTACACTGGGTCCAGAAGTCACCATTCATGGGTTAGAAAACCCAGTGTGAGCACAGGCTGTGTTTGGAGAGATACAAACACAACCTCCTGTGGGCCCTCTCTCTGCCCAGATTCGTTTGCCTTTTGAGAAGAGTCTCCTGCGGGATGTGCTGTTCTCTGAGCAGGTCCCAGCACCACACGCCATAAGTGGAAAGAAAAAGGAGGCGGAGTTGTAGTCCATTCCCTTGCAGAAGGCATCCTTATCCGAAAAAAAGTTGATCGTTCTCCCTCAGTGTTACAGAGGCAGTCTTCCATGGGATCGCAAGCGATGACAACAACAAACGTTCTGTTTATAAGACTTGTCTGTGGAGGCAAGCAGCTGGGATGCCTGCAATTTGAGTCGCTCGGATTAGCTCCAGCTGGAAAGAAGCTAAAATGCGAAAAGGAGCAAAACAGAGCTCCCGGGCTAGACAAATTAGCACCGATGCTGCCAAAGGCATTTCACTGGTGTAACGCCCAGCAAAAACCCTGTCGAAACCATCATCCCATGCCTCTCTGTGTGCTAGAGCTCCTCCTAAGCGCAGATCACCAAATATTCAGGAATTTTGTGAGCCGATCGCTAAGGAAGAGCGAAGTCATGTAAGCTCAAACGCAATTAAGTGCTCAAAACTCCATCGCTTTCTCATCAGCACATATTGTACCGGTACACAAGTACTAAAACGCCACGCTGTTCCCCGTAAATATATACCCTTACTTGAATGGATTAAAAAATGAAGACTATAAGTCTGAGGAGGAAAAAAAATCTCATCACTATCTCATTATCTGACTGCCTGTTATCCACATCTGTTCTTTTCTTAAATCTGGATTTTTTTTTTTCATTTATTTGAAAGGCAGAGTTACACAGGGATGCAGAGAGAATCTTCCAACCACTGGTTCACTCCCCAAATGACCACAACAGCCAGGGCTGGGCCAGGCTGAAGCCAGGAGCCTGGAACTCCATCCGGGTCTCCCACATGGGTGGCGGGGACCCAAGCACTAGAGTCATCTTCTCCCAGGTGCAGTAGTAGGGAGCTGGATTGGGCACGGAGCCCTGGGACTTGAACCAGCGCTCCTATGGGGTGCCAGCATTGCCTGAGGCAGCGGCCCCTGCTGTGCCACAGTGCCAGCCCCCATGCACGGTTGTGCTGTGGAGTCAGGGGTAGCCGAAGCGCGGCTTCATGGTGGCCCTACCGTGCCTCTGTCTCGGTCTGTTCGTAATAGGACGGCACATGCGGGGTCATTTTCGATCAGGAAAGGGGAACCTGTTTTCTGCGAGGGCCTTTCACAGATTTAGAACTTCATTCGTGGGCCACACACAGCCATCATCTTACAAATCAGCCTGCTGCAGATTCACTGAATTTTGAATCCCTCCTGACGCTCCCCAACCCTGTTGAGAAATGCAGTGGCCCTGGAGACTAGAAAATCCAAGATGGAGGAACCAGCATCTGTCAATGAACCCGCTCCGGAAGTGATGCCTCTGGAAGTGACGTCATAATGATGCCCCGGAAGTGACGTCGTTAATCCTGCCACCCCCGATGCGGTTGCCAGGGGATTGGGTTTCCAACACGTGAAGGTCAAGGCTCGCATCAAACCACGGCAATGTCAGGCCAATGTGGGCGACAGACACCCGCTCTCCAGAACAGAGTTCTTTTGGGGGGACAGCAAGGGATTGCCATCTGGAATATGCAAGCCCCGGTGGGCCCCAGGAGGGTCCGAGGAGGCCGGGGCAAGATCGAGAGGACAAGTTCATGCGTGTTGTTTGGAGATCCTTCTCACTGGCTCCGCGGCGGGAGTCGGCGGTCACTCGCGAAGCGGCTGTCGCTGGGGAGACGGCTCTATCCAAGTAGAAGTGACTTATTTGGAATGCTGGGAATGGTTTCGTGGGTTTTCAAGAGCCCCTGCAAGGCGTATGTGCGTGAGGATTCTTCCTTGATGGCCTCTGGCTTTATTTTGGGGGGAGAGGGGTCCGGCTTTATTTGGGGAGGGGGGCTGACTACATTTTGGCTCTGACAACTTTCACAACCATATCTCATCCTGACTCTGGTGACCTCATGTTGGTCACTTGAAATCGACCATGATGGGGATACTGACACCGTGGAAACTGGCCAACAGTATACGTAACAAAGGTCCCCATAAGCTGTGTGGGGTGGTTTGTAGGAGAGCAGAGAGGAGTTCATCGTTGCACCCTGGGCCAACACCCCCTCATATTCCTTTATTACCATTCCTTCATCCTAACCCCAAGCCCCGTCTGCATCTGATGAGCCCCAGCCCGCCCTTAGTTGCTGCCCTGAGGTCCCATGGTCCTGTCTGTCGGGGAGCCTCAACCAGCGCCTCACTGTCCGAGGGAACACAGCCCATCTTTCTCCCTGGCTGTCTGCTGAGTCGACCTGTGCTCTCTGGGAGCACACTGAGCTCAGAGCAGGGAGCAGGTGCTTAATGCGGATGTGCTGGGAACACACTTCCTTGGTAAGATGACCCTTTCCCCGCTCCCAAGGAACTTAGTCCAAGGGAGAAAACGTGGGTATGGACCACCTCAGAAGCAGGCGTTCCTTTTGACGTGACAAGCTAAACATCATCAATTTGAAATGTCATTGAACCCCCCCCCCCTTTTTTAACCTATGATGGCATTCTGATGTTGCTTCCAATGAGTGGCAAATTGTGTCTGTTTTTCTTTCCACCTCTCAAAGGAATTCTTGGCTTCAAATTTCCTGGAGATAAACTTCTGGTTTCTAAAAGAAGAAGCTGGGAAGAAAGATGGGAGGAAGGGGCGGTCTGCTCCCTTCTGGCTCCCCTTCCTCACACCCCCCCCCCCAAGCAAGCTTCTAGAAGGTTCCGTGGTTCCTGAGCTTCAGCCTTCACCTCCAGAGCCAGGCGGCTGACCCAACAAACCGACATCTTGTAAGGGAACAGCTGGTGGAGAAAAAACACCCAGGAGGAACCGCTGCTGGCTGGTAGGAAGCAGACAGGTCTGGGAAGACAAGTGGCTCTAAGCGGCAGTGACAGTTGGCGTTTGCAGAGGGAAGCAAGCAAGCAGCTGCAGACAGGAGAGCACAGCTGGCTTGATTTAGGAATAACAAATCCAGCCCTGTCTCTTGCAGCTTGTCTGCCCTCCGTAAACACAGACCGAGCAATCCACAGACGCAGGTTCAAATTACCCGGGCGTTCCAGAGCGCAGCATGGGGGCCTCTAGGGAGAAGTTGGGAACAGTAACTGGATGGAGAGAAGGGGAGCCCAGGACCACCCTGTCCCTCTTGCCACGGGCGGTGCACGGAGAAGACAGAAGAGCACCGGGGTTGGGTGATAGTTTGGGAGAGCGGGAGGACAGACCCCCCTCCTTTTCCAGAACCTTCTGGAGGAACGATTCCGCCTAGCGCCTTTGCTCTTCCACACTGCCTCGTTAAGATGCTTGTTTTGACAGCTTCTGCCAAAGGCATCCTGGAAATCCACTCCCACATTTGTTTGGCTTGGGGTTTTCATCTCCCAGTGGGGTGCAGAGAGGGGTGGGGCTGGACCTCAGCCAGGACATCCTCTTCGAGGGACAAGCAGCCACGTGGAGCCGCTGGAAGAGCCCTTCCTCGTGGCAGGAGCGTTCTCAGGTCCCCACGTTCCACCTGCTCCCAAGGCCCCACACTGGCCTTGGAACGCTCCCACCCCCACCCCCAGCCCTGCAGCTCTGAGTGAGGCTGGCAGGAGCCCAGGAATCGCCCCTTGCAGTGTCCGGAGCACCACGTGGCTATGGAGGTTTATCGCCAGCTGTTAGCCCAGCTTTGCTGGGTACAGCCTAAGGCTATTAACTCCCTATCTTGTCTTCATCACGAGCTAAATGAAAGCATCCTCCGCCACGCTTCCTCCCTCTCTCACCTCTTGCTCACCCCACGTAGCTGGCCTCTTGGTCGTTTCCAGGAATGTCTTTCCCGGCTTCCTTCAAAGCACTTGGGTCTCGAGGGCATCCCAGGGAGTCTGCCTGGAGACAGATCCTCAGCCATGAAGGGTGGCTGGCTCCCGCCATGGCCTGTACAAGTTTTCAGGGCCACCTTGAGGTCCCCGTTCCAATCCTAAGAGAAGTTTTCCCACCTCGGGAGCCCCCTCCTTGAACAGCAAGAGGGGTCACCAGGGACAAATCGCAAAACAGAATGCTGGGAGCGTCCAGGCATGGAACCAGCCATGAGCACGCTAGGTGCCCAGGATTGGAGAGCAGAAGGGAGGGCCCCAAACCCAGGAGACAGAGCAGCCAGGGCTGCAGGTCCACGTCTGATGTCCCCTTCCTCTGAGGAAGCAGGAGGGGACAGGAGGGGACTTGGGGGCCTCCTTGTGCTGGGTAAGAAAAGGGTCCTTCCAGTGTCATCTCCCGAGGCCAAGGAGAAAGAAGAGCAGTCGCTTCCAACTTTTGTGGTGACACATTTTCTCCTAATCCCCTCAGCCAGCTTCTCCTGTAGGCTCACAGCCCAAACCAAGGTCACCAGTTCCCAAACGGTGCCCCTGGCAGGTGCCTGGCGCTGCTGATTGGGGAGGCACGGTGGAAGGGCCCAATAGCCAGTTCTGGTTACCTGTGAGGGGAAAGAAGGCAGGGGGAGAGAGCGCCTCCCTGGGAAGCAGTGTGCCAGGGTTTGTGTAGCAAGAGCGAGGGGGAGGCACCCGGGGAGGTGGAGTGGGAGGGCACCCCCTGCTCAAGCCAACTTCACCTTCATACACGGAACGGCAGTGGCGGGGGGGGAGGATGACTCCAACTCAGGGTGGGGGGGCCTCCTGCAGCTTCACTGGCCAGCTGGTGGTCTCACCCCCCCTCTGAGCGCCATTATGACAGAGCCTTCCTGGGACTGGCATCGTGGCCCAGCAGGTTAAGCCGCTGCCTGTGACGCCTGCCTCCCCTACGAGTCCCGGTTCGTGACCCGGCTCCTCCACTTCCGATCCAGCTCCCTGCTGATGTGCATGGGAAAACAGCGGAAGACGGCCCGAGTGCTTGGGCCCCTGCACCCATGTGGAAGAGCCAGATGGAGTTCCAGGTTTCTGGCTCCAGTCTGATCCAAATCTGGCTGTCGCAGGCATTTAGGGAGTGAATCAGTGGATGGAAGCTCGCTCTCTCGCTCTCTCTCTCTCTCTCTCTCTCTGTCACTCTGCCTTTTTTCATTGAAGAGAGATCCCCCCAGAATCTACGTGCACCCAGAACCTCAGACACTGACCACACGTGGAAAGGTGGGCAGACACCGTCATGGAAGGAGACAGGATCGTGCTGGGGGGGCAGGCCCAGAACTGGAGCAAGGACCCCTCCCCCAGAGAGACCCAGACAAAGGTCACGGGGACCCAGAAGTAGGCAGATTGAGGAGGGTGGGGTGTTGCTGGGGCAAGGGAGGGCGCTCCCCGGAGCCTTTGGAGGGAACACCATGCTGTAGGCACATGGACTTCCATCTTCCAGAATAGAGCACCGTGAAAATGCACATTTGCACGGCTGTGAGTCCCCAGGTCGGAGGTGATTAGCCCAGCAGCCCTGATGATAAACTCACATGCCCTCTCTCCCTCCACCTGCCCCCCGACACACACACACACACACACACACACACAAAGCCACCTCCAACATGTGCACGTGCAAGACGCCAGCAGTCTCTCTCAGAAGACCTGGGCGCCTGGGTGATCCCCCAGGTCGCCCAACCTCTGAGCCTCACCCATTCGGTCTGGATGTGAAATAGGCACAGCTCCATACTTCCTGCAGTTCTTTTTTTTTAAGATGTTTATTTATTTATTTGAGAGGCAGACAGAGAGAGGGAGAGACAGAGAGAAAGGTGTTGCATTCACTGGTTCACTCCCACGACAGATGGAGCTGGGCCGATCTGAAGCCAGGAGCCTGGAGCTTCCTCCAGGTCTCCCAAGTGGGTGCAGGGGCCCAAGCATTTGGACCATCTTCCACTGCTTTCCCAGGCCAGAGCAGAGAGCTGGATCAGAAGAGGAGCAGCCGGGACTTGAACTGGTGCTCATATGGGATGCCGGCACTGCAGGCAGAGGCTTAGCCTACAGAGCCACAGCGCCAGCCCTCGGCATTTCTGAGAGCTGAAATTCTCCCCTCCAGGAGACAGCCTCGGACAGGTGCAGGCAGAGGCTCCTCCTTAAACGACCTTGGCCTTCCTCGGTAGCCGGAGCCTAGACAGGGGCACTGGGAAGCTTCCTCTTCTTCTAAGGCATATGGCCGCCACGGGGGAGCTGCTGGAGCCGGAGCAGGCTCTGGAAAGCAAGCCAGTCTCCATTCATTTAGCAAAAGCATTCTTTACCACCTTGTTGCATGCTCACGGTGATATCCAAAAGCTGTACCTGACCAACACCTCTTAAAGGAAAGGAGCTGTTGTCTTTAGGACTTGGGACGCATGGCACCAGAAAAAAATGCCAGGGCAGAAGCCAAATGGAGCCACGCGAAGGCTTGCTATGCAACTTGATTTTTCCAAGAACCAAGTCCCCCAATGAAGAGCTCAGTTCCAGACACGCTTTAACTTAGTGGATACATGGGGCCGGTGCTGTGCCAAAGTGGGTTTGGCCTCTACCCATATGGGTGCCAGTTCGAGTCCCGGCTGCTCCACTCTGGTCCAGCTCTCTGCTATAGCCTGGGAAAGCAGTGGAAGATGGCCCAAGTCCTTGGGCCCCTGCACCCACGTGGGAGACCCAGAAGAAGCTCCTGGCTCCTGGCTTCAGCCCAGCTCTGGCCATTGCAGCCATCTGAGAGCTGGAAGCCAGAGACATTAAGCATCACCCTCTTTGGTTAGAAGCAAAGGTCAAGGTCCCAACCGCTGCGGTTCCTTGCCCAGGTACGGAGGGAACTGGAGACTGGAAAGAGCCTGGTCCCCACCCCCTGGGAGCGTCCCTCCCTCCTCAGCCACCCACTTCTGGCTTCCCATGCACACCTGGCGGAGTGCGCCGATGCCCGGTGCCCCACGAACCAACACAGAGAAGCTGCCTGCTCCTGCCTTCCAAACCACGAAAGCTCAATTTGCAAGATTCTTTTTTTTGTTGTTGTTCAGCTCTTCAAAGACAAAAAACACCCACTATTTCCCATCTGATCCAAGACCGCAGGATTGTTTTTAATTCCATTCATCAGTATCTCATTCACCCCAAGAGACGAGGGGATGTTTCCATATTTACATAACCGGGCTCATCAGTTTAAGGTCCTGGGTCCCTCCCTCACATGGTGGCAATTCCAGTCCCTGACAGCCTTCCAAGTTTACTGTAAAGACCAACAGGGTCTCAGACACCCAGAAAACAAACTTCTTATGTTTTTATAAACTCTATAAAATTGTAAATTGGATCAAACTTTGCATCCAAAAGCACATTCTTGGGGAATATTTTATATGCACATAAAACAGAGAAAATGCTAGCATCGCGATCTTAACTGCACACTGGAAGCCACTAAAAGTCGGGTGAATGTAATCCATCTGGGACGCGCCTTGAGACCGGAGGCTTGGAGAGCACAAGAGAGCCTCAAGGGAGTCTGACGCCGCCCAGCTCCTGTTCATCAGCTGGCACCACCGTGTTTCTGTCTCTTGCTCCAAACGAAGACGCGGACAGTCCGAGGACCTCAGCTGTCAACGGCGAACCTGCCGCCAGGCTGGGCAAAGAAAGCGATGGCCACCAGGGCCTGGCTCTGGCTCCAGGTGCGTGATAAGTTGCTAAGAGCCCCTTCACTTGTCCTGGCTTCCTGCACAGGCCTTTTCCCCAAGGCCATGGCCGGGTGGGGGTGGGGCGGGGGTCAGTGGCAATCCAGGTTTTGCTACAGCCTTTGGGGCTTGTTTGCTCAAGACTGTCCATTAGGCGTTTATTAGCCTTCATTATGGAGTGCGGCAAGCCTAATTAGTTCCAGCTGAGCGGGTGGGGGGCCGCAGGGGGAGGGGGAGCTGCAGGCACCCTGTGAGTACAGCTGGCACTTGCCTTCCAGGAAAAACTGCATCTCCTTGTTATCTGTCAGCACAGCAAATTAGGCCCCTCATTATCACATCTGCAAGGTGCATGGCACACCCAGCGGGGGAGGGGGGGCCCTGGGGATGTGGGGAGAGGGGCTGGCTTCCAGGGAGGCCTCTGGCCGCACCTGGCTCTTGCGCCTGATAGGATCTTGCCTACCAGGACCAGGTCAAATGCCAAGAGGAGGGGCCCTTAGGGAGAGGAGAGAGCCCCTCCCCCACACTCTTGCCTCCACCCGTGAGCCCCCCCTGATGGAGACCCGTGGTCTGGGGGATTCTTGGACAAGACTTTGACTGCGGACTGTGACAACATGGAGACAGCGGGGATTTTCTCCGCGGCTTATAAAGGTAGAGCGAGTCTCTGTTTTCAATGTGCCCAAGAGTTGCCTGAGAGAAGCAGTTAGAATGCAGGCCCTGGGGCCCCACCCCAAATCCGGCAGACGCCCACGGGCCTCTCCTGGCCGGTGATCGGTGATGGAAGACACCACGCTGGGCCGGCGCCCACACCCCGGACTGGAACGCCTGGTTTGAGTCCTGGCTCTGCTTCCAACCCCAGCATCCTACTAATGTGCACCCTGGGGGGGTCGCAGTGGTGGCTCAAGCAACTGAACTCCCGCCACCCGCATCAGAGACCCGCAGGGGGTGCCTGGCTGCTGGCCAGTGTGGGCGTGCGGGGAGCAAACCAGCCTCTCCAATACAAATGACGGCCATGATGATGATGACGGTGATGAAGAAGAAAAGCAAGTGCAGAATGAAGCATTTGATAAAGAATTCATGCACCCAACAGTTCCCACGCAACTCCTACCACAGCAAGGAGCCATGGGCAGGGGCTGGACGGGGAGGCGGCAGGATGGTGGCTCTGACAGCTTAGCAGTGGGGTCCCTGGACTGCACACTGGCCCAGGGGGCCCGCAGGTGGACGTAGAGTTTGGAATCCTGTTTTAGGAGAAGAGAAAGTCTCCCAGGAATCACAGCATTCGCACGGGCACTGGCACAGGTCTAGAACTGGTCAACAAGGGAACCCAGGACAGGGACAGAGGGCCAGCAGAAGGTTTTCTTTTTTCTTTCTTTTTTTTAAGATGTATGTCTTTATTCGAAAGTCAGAGCTACAGAGAGAGAGAGCGAACGGCAGAGACAGACAGATCTTCCATCTGCTGGTTCACTTCCCAAATGGTTGCAATGGCCAGGGCTGGGCCACGGTGAAGCCAGGAGCCAGAAGCTTCTTCCAGGCCCCAAAGAGTTGGAAGAGGCCAGACCGGAAGTGGCGCAGCCAGGACTTGGACTGTGGAGGGTCGGGACAGGGCTGGAAGCGTCTGTGGACAGCTGTTGTGGTTTGCATGCGTGGGAAGCTGGAGCCGAGCACGATGGCCTGCTGTGGCCCCGAGAACCGGTTGCAGAAGAGCAGGTGCAGAGACGTGGCTGCAGCCCAGGCGCTGAGTGTTAGGGCTGCGCCCCCTCCCCCGCCCCGCGCACGTGCGTCATGGGCCTGAGCTCCAGCGGCGCCAGCGCCCTCTGCTGTCTGGAGCCTACTGGGCATCTGCGCAGATGGGGAGTGGGCCCAGCAGCCCGCAGGAAGCTCCCCAGACCCGCCGCTCCTCTGGGGGTTCCGATCACCTGTGAGTGACACGTTGGCAGGCTGTCACTCCGCTGCCTCCTCTCCATTCCCCATCACCTCACCATAGGTTCACTGGGCTGTCTCTCCGCTGGGTCTCCCACTCGGGAACTGGGGACACGCCCACCGCGATTAGCATGGGACACATTAAGAAGCAGCTTTGAGCAGACAGCACAGGGTGTCAGAGGCTTCGTGTGGAATTCCCTCCATGAGCCTCTGGCCTGGCTCCTGAGAAGCAAACAGGTAAGAGTGTGGGACACGGGGTCGGCGCTGTGGCGGAGCAGGTAAAGCCACCACCTGCAGTGCTGGCATCCCATATGGGTGCTGGTTCAAGTCCCGGCTGCTCCACTTCCGATCCAGTTCTCTGCTGTGGCCTGGAAAAGCAGTACAAGATGGCCCAAGTCTTTGGGCCCCTGCACCCGGGTGGGAGACCCAGAAGAAGCTGCTGGCTCCTGGCTTCCATCTGGCCCGGCCCTGGCTGTTGCAGCCATTTGGGGAGTGAACCAGCAGGTGGATGATCTCTCTCTCTCTCTCTCTCCTCCTCCTCCTCCTCCTCCTCCTCCTCTTCCTTCTCCTCCTCCCCCCATCCATCTGTAACTCTTTCAAATAAAATGAATCTTAAAAAAAAAAAAAAAAAAGATAGCCACATCCCATACCAGAGTGCCTGGGTTCGAGTCCCAGCTCCGCTCCTGACTCCAGGTTCCTACTCATGCAGGCCCTGGGAAGCAACAGGTGATGACTCAAGTCATCAGGTTCCTGCCTCCCGTGTGCGAGATCCTGACGGAGCTCCTGGCTCCAGCCCAGCCCTGGCTATTGTGGACATTTGAGAAGTGCACTAACAGATGGGAGATTTTTCTTTCTGTCTCTCCATCTCCCTTCTGCCTCCCAAGTTAAAAGATTGATTGCTTGGTAGTGTGATAGAGTAATATGAAGTCACAGAACCTTGGATCAAATTATACTTCTAAGCCCTTCTTAGTTTGTAACCTGGGGGCGCATGAGTATGTTGGCTGATATTCCGGAAGTGAAACGCAGTTAAGATTAATCCCTGCCTCATACAGTCGTGAGCAGAGCTAAGACCAGGGTGAGGTAAGTTGCCTCGGGCACAAAATTGAAGCAATGCCAAAAAACCTCTTAAATAATGTTTTAATGTATTTTTAAAGATCAAAAGTAATGCAAAAGGATCTGCAATGAACAAAATAGCAAATGAACACAGCATCGGTGGTACAGATTGGCACTTTTTGCCTTAGGAGCCAGTATGACTCAGCATGGTCCTGGGAGTGAGTTAATGAGAAATTAAATGAGATAATACAAGAGTTGAAAAACATCTGGAATCCGTGTGTTATGGGCCAGGTTGGACCTCAACTAATATTCCAGACTCTCGCCTTTCACGTAGAGAAGAGTTCTAAGTAAAGGCCCAAACACGACGTGCAGTGTGATAAGGCTTATTACAAAGTGAGAAAATACCCAGGCACGTGAGGGCTTTACTTAGGGAGAGTGGGCCAGGGAAGGTAAAGGGTAATTTCCACACCCTGCTCTGCTCGTCCTGAGTTCACGAGGAGGAGAGCCCCAGCTTCCGTTTTACACAGCTTTTCATGAGCTTAGAAAAATGGGAGTGTTCACATGGCCCTGACCCCAAGCCCTCGGGTAAGAGGAAGTACTTCCTGGGGGAGGAAGAGGAAGTACTTTCTGATCGGCAGGTAGGTGAACATGGCAACACAGAGCAAGGGAGGTGTGGCTTCCCACTCATGAACTTAGATGATCTGATTTCACACATCATATGTGTAGTTTGGGGTTTTTTTTAATGATATGCATTTCCCATGAACTTTTGGAAGCAACCTCTTGTGTGCAAACACCTGGAACAGGGCGCATCACAAAAGGGCTCCATGCATTTGGAAGGAAGGAGGGGTGGACCGTTTGGTGAAATGATTCCAAGGCTTCAGAGGTATCACAGGCCCCGCGGGCCCCCTCTCTCTTTCCGCCTTCATAGTGAGGTAGCTATATGGACAAGCATCAGAGGACTGTGTAGGGCAAAGACAAGCAGTCGCAGCTAAAACCCACTCTTAGCCCCAGATCCTGTCTCTTCCCAACACACCTGCCTGGTCATTTAGCATCTCAGAGACTCTGTCAAACCACAGCTGTGATTGGCAGGACAGAGTCTGATCTTCGGCGCCGCCTTCCCACTGCCCGAGGCCTGCGGTTTGGAGGAATCCTGCAAGCGCTGGGCAGACGGCTCGCGGCAGTGGTGCAGCTCACCGTGGAGCCCTTCTTTCTGTGTTCCCACCTGACCCCAGTGGGGGCATTCTGCCGCAGCCCGGAAAAGGTATGGAGAATGGAAGGTTTGGGGCAAGGGGTAGTTAGTCTTTCTGGAGATGGAGGGGGAGCTGGCAGCCTAAAGCAAAAAGGGGAACTCTTTGATGAGAAGGGGCTTTCTGCTGAGAGAAGACGCTGTCACTCCTGGGAGGCCGGGGCAGGCTGGCCAGATCACTGGGGGGTGCGGTTACTGTGGATCCCCATTAGAAAACCAAATGGGGGGGCCGGCGCCGCAGCTCACTAGGCTAATCCTCCGCCTAGCGGCGCCGGCACACCAGGTTCTAGTCCCGGTCGGGGCACCGGATTCTGTCCCGGTTGCCCCTCTTCCAGGCCAGCCCTCTGCTGTGGCCAGGGAGTGCAGTGGAGGATGGCCCAGGTGCTTGGGCCCTGCACCCCATGGGAGACCAGGAAAAGCACCTGGCTCCTGGCTCCTGCCATCGGATCAGCGCGGTGCACCGGCCGCATCGCGCCGGCCGCGGCGGCCATTGGAGGGTGAACCAACGGCAAAGGAAGACCTTTCTCTCTGTCTCTCTCTCTCACTGTCCACTCTGCCTGTCAAAAAAATAAATAAATAAATAAATAATTTAAAAAAAAAAAAAAAGAAAACCAAATGTGGGGTAGGAGGTGGCGCTGTGGCGTTGTGGGTAAGTCTACTTCCTGCAGTGCCGGCATCCCATATTGGTGCCAGTTCGAGTCCCAGATGCTCCTCTTCTGATCCAGCTCTCTGCTATGGCCTGGGATAGCAGTAGAAGACGCCCAAGTCCTTGGGCCCCTGCACTCGCATGGGAGACCTGGAAGAAGCTCCTGGCTCCTGGCTTCATATTGGCACAGCTCTGGCCATTGTGGCCATTTGGGGAGTGAACCAGCAGATGGAAGACCTTTCTCTCTCTCTCTCCCTCTCTCTCTCTCTCTCTGCCTCTCCTCTCTTTGTGTAACTCTGACTTTCAAATAAATAAATAAATCTTAAAAGAAAAAAGGAAAGAAACCCGAGTGGGGATTTTTAAATCAAATTAGGTGCAGAGGTGGGTGTTCAGCTTAGCAGTTAAGAGGAGGGTTGAGACCCCACATCCACATCTGAGTGCCTGGGTTCCACTCCCAGTCCCAGCTTCCTGCTAAGGCAGACCCTTGGCGGCTGGGTCCCTGTCACCCATGTGGAGACTCGGATGGGTTCCCAGCTCCCAGTTTCAGTCTGGCCCAGCCCCAGCGGTGGCAGGCATTTGGGGGTAATGAACCAGCAGATGGAAGATCTCTCTCTCTCTCTCTTTCTGTCTCTGTCTCACTGCCTTTCAGTTGAAAAAAAAAAAGTAAATTGTATAGAAAAGCTTATGGGGAGCCACACTGTCTCTTTCCTCCCCAAACAACCCGTAACGCCACTTTTTGATGGCATCCATGTGGAAGTGTCTGGGGTTTTCTTCTGATGTCTAGCTGACAAAGCCAAAAGCACTGATTCGACTATGTCTTTGTGGTTTTTTTTAAGATTTATGATTTATTTCTTTATCTGAAAGGCAGAGTCACAGAGAGGCAGAGGCAGAGAGAGAGAGAGAGATGTCTTCCATCTGCTGGTTCACTCCCCGGGGTGGCCAGCAATGGCCGGAGCTGCACCAATCTGAAGCCAGGAGCCAGGAGCTTCTTCCAGGTCTCCCACGTGGGTGCAGGGGCCCAAAGACTCAGGCCATCCTCTACATTTTCCCAGGCCACAGCAGAGAGCTGGATCGGAAGAGGAGCAGCCGGGACTCAAACCAGTGCCCATGTGGGATTCCTGCACTACAGGCAACAGCTTTACCTGCTACACCACAGCGCCAGCCCCTCCACTTTGTCTTAGAGTCTCAACTGTAAACAGTACCTATTGACAACTTATAGAAATTGCTGTAGTTTGACCTTTTTTTAAAAAAAGATTTATTTATTTATTTGAAAGAGTTACACAGAGAGAGGAGAGAGGAGAGGCAGAGATAGAGAGGCAGAGAGAGAGAGAGGCCTTCCATTCACTGGTTCACTCCAAAATTGGCTGTAATGGCCGAAGCTGCACTTATCAGAAGCCGGGAGCCAGGAGCTTCTTCCGGGTCTCCCTCGCAGGTGCAGGGACCCAAGGACTTGGGCCATCTTCCACTGCTCTCCCAGGCCATAGCAGAGAGCTGGATTAAAAGTGGAGCAGCCGGCCAGCACTGCGGCTCAATAGGCTAATCCTCCGCCTGCGGAGCCAGCACCCCGGGTTCTAGTCCCAGTCGGGGCGCCGGATTCTGTCCCGGTTGCCCCTCTTCCAGGCCAGCTCTCTGCTGTGGCCCGGGAGTGCAGTGGAGGATGGCCCAAGTGCTTGGGCCCTGCACCCACATGGGAGACCAGGAGAAGCACCTGGATTCTGGCTTCGGATTAGCGCGGTGTGCCGGCCACAGCGTGCTGGCCGCAGCGGCCACTGGGGGGTGAACCAACGGCAAAGGAAGACCTTTCTCTCTGTCTCTCTCACTGTCCACTCTGCCTGTCAAAAAAAAAAAAAAAAAAAACGTGGAGCAGCCGGGACTGGAAGCGGTGCCCATATGAGATGTCGGCACTGCAGGTGGCAGCTTTGCAACAGCACCCGCCCTAGTTTGACCTTGAGTTGGCTCCCAACTCGTGCATATGTTTAAATCCTACCATCTTATGTCAACGGTGCTGAGAGGGTAGAAACTTAATCCAATTTTAGCATCTGAAGGGAGGGCCTTTTGGGGAGTGATTGAACCAGATCAGGTTGCTGAAGTGGAGCCCCCAAGATCAAATCCCGATGGCTTTATAAGGACAGACACACAGAGGGAGAGTGCGTGTGTACTTCCTGTCTCTCTCCCAGCTTCCTGGCTCACCACACGGTCCTCCCTCTACACATACTCCACCAACCACCACCCTCATCAGACGTCAGTGTAATCTTAAACTATGAATATCCAAAACTGTGATCTGAAATAAACCTTCGTCCTCCACTGGCTGCTGTTCTCAGGTGCTGAGGAAAGCTAACTAATGCAGGATCCGTGGCATTAAGGCGGCTTTAACTCCAATACTCTCCTCCTTCCCTTACCATCTCCTACCAACCTTTGATGTTTAGGCTGTTGGTTTTATGCTCCATTGGTCTCCTTTGTCTCTTTAAATAATAGAAGCACCCCTCTCTTGTTCTATCAGCTCCACCGGTCTCTTCTGCCTTGACTCTCACCGGATGAGCCGTCCACACCAGCTCACCCCCACTACGCATTTTCTCCAGTGATCTGCCTTGGCTGTGACAACAGGGCTGCCCCACCCCCAGGCAGGCCACAGCTTCCAGGCTTCCATTCTTCAAGTCTGTGAAAACCACCCCAGTGTTCACATCACAGTACCCTGCCTCTTGCTTAAGCTTGCGCACCTGGGGAGAAATACACAGATGAAGAAGGAGACCCTCATCTTTGGGGTCCTCACAGCCTGATGACGACACGGTCTTTGTGTGACATTGTCGGTTAGAAGAAGGTATCCTGGGCTCCAGTGCTGAGGCACAGCAGGTAAAGTCATCGCCTATGGCACTGGCATCCCATATGGGCACGGGTTCCAGTCCAGCTCCTTGGCTAATGGTCTGGGAAAGCAGCAGAAGATGGTCCAAGTACTCAGGCCGCTGCACCCATGTGGGAGACCCAGAGGAAGCTCCTGGCTCCTGGTTTCGGCCTGGCCCAGCCCAAGCCATTGTGGCCATCTGAGGAGTGAGCCCACGGATGGAAGCTCTGTCTGCATCTCTCTCTCTCTCTCTCTCTCTCTGTGACTCTGCCTTTCAAATGAATAAATAAATATTTTTAAAAAGAAGAAAGAACACATGGCCATGTCTGTTGAAGCCCCCCAGGAGCTGTCTTGATTTTTAGCTAGGTGCACATCAAAACGCAGGCGTTGGATTTGTTCATGGAGTAAGCATTTAGCGAGCGCCTACTATCAGCCAGGCACCGCGCTAAGGCGCTGGGCTGCAGTGCCAAACGAAGGCAGGAAAACAAACAGCGCTGCGCTGAGTGTGAGAGCCGCGGATGACCACACAGTATAAACAATGTAACAGACTACAGCGTCAACCCGACTGCACCAAGGGACGCCTACACGCCGTGTTTCCGGGCGTACCTGGGAGACATTGCCACAAAACCCTGGTGTGTGTGGAAGGGACCTGGATGAGGAAGTCCCGCCCCCATGTGCGTGGTGCCGTCCAATCAGCTGGTGTGTGTGGAAGGGACCTGGATGAGGAAGTCCCGCCCTCATGTGCGTGGTGCCGTCCAATCAGCTGGTGTGTGTGAAAGGGACCTGGATGAGGAAGTCCCGCCCTCATGTGTGTGGCGCCGTCCAATCAGCTGGGGGTGCAGAGGAGGCAGAAAAGCGGAAGTGGGGGGAAATGCAGTCTCCGGCCCCCTCCTCACAGAGCTGGCGCCTCTTCCACCTGCTGCTGTTCTCCGACGTCAGGCTCCCGCGTCCTCTGCCTTTGGGCTCTGGGAATTGCATGGCGCCCCGTTGGGCTGGGGGCTGTGCTGTCAGCCTTCCTGGTTCTGAGGCTTCTACCACTACTGCCTTAACATGGCGCCCCTCGGTGTAGACGGCCATCTTGGGACGTTGCTACCTGTGAACCTGTGGTTGTTTCCTGATTCCTAAGACATGACATGTGTGCATACGGGCCTCGGTGTCTGGCAGTGCACAGCCACAGGCAGGATTTATGTAAAAGGGAGAGGGTGAACACACGTGTTCATGCGTGAGTGTCGGCCACCCCACATGCAGACACCCAGCATGCGGGGCCAGGGGGTTACCTGTGAGGAGAGAGGGCCAGGAGGCCCGAGAAGGGTCCCAGGCGTGGTGAGGGAGGCCCTCCCACGTTATCCATCTCTTTTATGAGATGGGGGCGGTGCCCTAATTGTACCAGAGGGGTGGAGCTCAGCATGCCTGTGGTTTTTTGAGATTTTCATGGCACCGCCCATGGAATTTACCTTCCAGGTGGCCATCATGGTGTCTCCTCTTTCCTGGTCCCGGGTGAGACACAGGTGCATCATGGGAGGCAAGGTATTAGGCCAGAAGGTTTGCAGGTGAAGGGTTAGGACCAGCAGGCAGGGCCGGCACAGGTGCATCATGGGAAGGCGAGGTGTTAGGCCAGAAGGTTTGCAGGTGAAGAAGGGTTAGGACCAGCAGGCAGGGCCGGCACAGGTGCATCATGGGAAGGCGAGGTGTTAGGCCAGAAGGTTTGCAGGTGAAGGGTTAGGGCCAGCAGGCAGGGCCGGCACAGGTGCATCATGGGAAGGCGAGGTGTTAGGCCAGAAGGTTTGCAGGTGAAGGGTTAGGGCCAGCAGGCAGGGCCGGCACGAATTCCAGCTTAGCCACTGCTACCTGAGCTCCCTGCCTAGTTTGTCCATATATTCAGACCTCGTAAACCAAGTCACAAATGTTGATGCAGGAAGAGGTTCAGGACAGGAGTGGACAGTGTACCGTCGTGTTCTCTGCCCTGGGGCTCACACACCGGGGAGATGTTTCTGTTCCTTAGAAGCCTGAAAGAGCGCCCCCTCCACAGGCATTCGGCTGACTTAGAGTTGTCCCGGCGCCTTGGGTACCTGTCACACATCAGGATACTGTGATTTCTTTTCCATCATTACCAACTATGTAGGCAAAAATAATGATAATCAAACTTTTATGTTTCATCTTAGTCAACAATATTCATTCCACAGATCCTGAATCTTGATACATGGCAGGGAATAGAATGTTTGTCATAACCACGTCCCCGCCTGGTGGGCCACCCAGGCTGGTGGCCACTTGTTTATTTACTTATTAAGACAAAGCATTTTCTTTCTAAGCTTATTGACTATTCATTGTATTATTTTTCGTGGAAGAGTGTTTCCATTTTTTTTTTTTGCATTCATATATGAAACTCAAGCATAGCAGAACTGTGTCCTTAACTTTGGGCTGTGGCCATGGGACCAGGGAATGCACGGATTGCCTGTAGGGGACAACATATATGATGCCATTCAACACCTTTGTCTACCCCGTCCCCACATTCTCAGCTTCTTATGCCTCATTCCCCTAATCCCAGATAAGCCATATTTTCAAACGTGGGAAGGTCCTTCCCTATCTTTCTCCTACACACACGCAAGCCTGTTCACACGCACACATGGGCCTTTTTTCTGGTGTAATTTGTCTCATACACATATCTTATATTAGTCACACAAATATTTCCAAGAAATCTGCTATGTCTTTAGGTCCTTTTTAATGGTTGCACAGTATTTCATGTGATTGTATCATTATTTATTTGGTCATTTCGCTATTGAAAGAGAAGTCTCCTCTTTCTAATTTTAGCCTCTACAAAGGAAAAAAAACTATATGGCCTCCGGAATCATTACATCAATTTTCAGGTGATAAATTCATGGAAGTGCATGTTCCTTGCCAAAGAGTGTATGATATTTTAAATGTTAATAGATGTTCCCAGTTGCTTTCCAAGAAACACAGTGTCTTTCCCTCACACTGCTGGGAGCAGGGAGTTCAATCATTCTTTTTAATTTTGCTAGTCTAAGAGGTGTGAGCTGCTACTTTATTGCCCCTTTTCTTTGCACTTCCCTGATCACTAGTGAATTCGGGCATCTTGCCAGTCAGTTTTTAGCTACTGATTTCTGTAAATTGTCTATTCAAACACACAACCTTGTTTTCCGTTGCTTTGGATGTCTTTTGCCGATTTGTCAGCACTCTTTATATATTATAGGAATTAACTTCTTGGCACATGCATTACAAACATTTCCACAGATCTATCAGTTATTTATAGATTTTGTTTGTGGGAATGCTTCCCATTCACAAATCTTCCCTTTAATGTAACCAACTGAGTCTTATTTTTCTTTTATGACTTCTGGGTTTCCAACCTTGGTTATGAGACTCTCCCCAGCTCCTGTAGTTTAAATTTTCATGGAATATTTTAATCTTTTTTTTTTTTTTTTTTTGCATTTGCTTTACATTAGTCTTCAGCCCATCTGGAGTTTTTGTGTGTGTTTGGCATGAGAATGGAGCTTTGTACCTTGGGATGGATAAGCCATTTAGACCAGTGCCATTAAGGAGCCATTATTTTCCTTCTGAATTGAATAATGACATTTGCCTTGTGTTAAATCTGCCTTTATTCTGACCTCCAATCACAACTGTCAGTTCTGTCTCACTGCCCTGCCTTTCTATTCTGGTATAACATAAATATATGATATGCATGAGTCACCTTGTCCCTCAATGGTTGTCCTTTCTTCTAATTTTCTTATTCTTGAACATTCTATTATATAAAATTTAAAATCTTTTCTTCCAGTTGTAAGAAGAAAATCAACAAAGTTTTACATTGAAGTTGCAATAGGTTCTATTTGGAAAGATTGTCATTTTTATTATATTATTTTCCCATTAGGTCTTACGTCCTTTTTTAAGGGAGAGAGAGAGAGAGATCTCCTATCCCTGGTTCACTCTCCAAATGGCTGCAACAGCCAGGGCTGGGCCAGGCCAAAGCCAAGAGCTAGGAGCTTCTTCCAGGTCTCCCACATGGGTGACAGGGGCCCAAACACTTAGGCCATTTTTCACTGCTTTCTCAAGCCACTAGCAGGGAGCTGGATAGGAAATAGAGCAACCCGGACATGAACCAACACCCACATGGGACTCTGGCATCACAGATGGTGGCTTAACCCACTGTGCCACAATGCCAGCCCCTGAGGTCTTATGTCTTTTATAAGCTATTTTGGTTCTTCTTATGTAGATTCTGATTAACTACTAGATGCTTAATACTAGAATAATGAAAAAATATGGATTTTTTTAAATAAAAGTGTCTTCTGAATCCAACTATTAAATCCACGGGAGTAGTCTTCCTCCTTTGTTGGATTTTCATAATAAGCAAAACAAAATGATTTAATGTACTCTTTTTCCAATACACCTGCCAGTTTTTAGATATCCTTGACTTACTACATTTGCTAAAACTTCCAAGGTAATATTGAATACTAACCGTGATTGTAGGCACCCACTCTCGCTCTCACTCTTGCTCTCTCTCTTTGCATTTTAAGTGAAATTTTCTTAGTGTCTTTCACTTTAGGAGACTATTTGCTCTTGGATTTTGGTCATCTCTATATTCCAGAGTGCTCTTCTTTCTGAATCTATTCTTATTAAGAATAGCTGGCACATATAATCAATTAATCCATGTTTATTTTATTATTAACAGCTGGCATATATGATCAGTTAATCAGTGTTTTTTGATGTTTACTACTGTGACCCTAATTTTTTCTCTGTTAACTTATGGATGGGTTTATTACCTGTTCTACTTCTTTTTTTCTTTGCTGGTTTCCTATCTCAGTAATTGTCTTTCTCTGGGTACAAGTTTCTTCCTGTGTCTCCTCTTTGTTTCTGGTGTTATCTTGCACTGTGTTTCTGATTTCCAAATTAAGATTTGTTATTCACTTATTTACTATTTCCATTTTTATTGGCTCAAGAGTAGAGAATCAGTCGTATGACAGCTCTGGTGTGCTTATTTGGGTCAATTTTATAAAGGCTTTACAAGCAGACAAAAATAATGTACATTCTCTATTTAAACAATGCAAGATTGGGCTGGCATCGTGGTGCAGTGGGTAAAGCCATCACCTGTGACACTGGCTTCCCATAAGGGCACCAGTTCATGTCCAAGCTGCTCCACTTCCAACCCAGCTCCCTGTTTATGGCCTGGGAAAAGCAATGAAAGATGGCCCAAGTGCATGAGCCCCTGCCACCCACATGGGAGACCTGGAGGATGTTCCTGGCTCCTGACTCAAGCCTGGAGCAGCCCTGGCTATTGCAGCCATCTGGGGAGTGAACCAGTAGATAGAAGGTGTCTCTGTCTCTCTCTGTTGACTTTCAAAATAACTAAATAAATAAATAAGTGACTTAAGATTATATATTTCTTGTGTTAAGGTTATTGTTTTTATATTACTCAGTTCCCCCGGATTCTAACTTTTACAATATACTACACAGATTGAAATTGTTAACAGACAAATCTGAAAACTCTGGAGTCTTGTTTCTGTCTTTCTTTTTATAAGAGTTCTTTATTTATTTAAGAGGCAGAGTTACAGAGAGAGACAGATACACAGATATCTCCCATCCACTGGTTCACTCCCCCAAATGGCCTCAATGGCCAGGGTTGGGCCA